GAGGAGCCTGGTGGGCTACAGTCCACAGGGTCACAAAGAGTCAGACATGACTGAAGTGACTGAGGATGCGCACATGTACTACCCATCATTAACTGTGTGACTGGGGGCAAGTTATTTAACTGCTGTCTAGTTCATTTTTATCATTGACAAAATGTGGGTAATAATAAGAGCACTTCCTTTTTAGGTTTATTGTGAGCCTCAGATGAGTTATTCCCATTGAGAAGGCAGTCCTCCATTAGCTCATCCAAGCCTTGACGTGTTTTTCTAAGGTAGACTGGGGAGAGCACAGGCTTAGCCATTAGCCAGACCAGGGCTTGAATCCGACTCCATCGCTTACCTACTGAGTGACTCAGCAAGTAACCTAACAGCTCTGAATTCCAGTTTCCTCATCTACAAAGTGAAGATAATGATACAAGACTACAATAGATTGCTTTGAGAAGTCAATGAGATAGCATAGTTCTTGACAATTACCAGGCACTTAAAGAACAGTACTCACCTCTCTTCCCTCCTTCCTCTAAGATTAAAAATTGTTTAAGCCAGATAAAATGATAAAAGAAAAGGCAAGAAAAAGATGAAACAGTACTCTGGAGGATTGCAAGAAAAAAGTGATATAGTATGTTCTTCAGGTAATTTTTGACATTTGAAATTGTGTCCTTTTCAGTAAAACTCGATTAGCCATGAGGGGAAGGATTTATTCACTTCAATCTACTTTTGTCTGATCTTTTATCAGTTAGAGCATCAGTCCTCAACCTTTTTGACACCAGGGACCAGTTTTGTGGAAGACATTTTGTCTACAGACTCTGGGGTGGGGGATGGTTTCGGGATGATTCAGGCACATTATGTTTATTTTTCACTTTATTTCTATTATTATTACATCAGCTCTACCCCAGATCATCAAGCATTAGATTAGATCCTGTTAAAGGGTGAGTGAGTGAAAGGGAATTAATAGAATGATCTTAGATTGCTGAGCTAAAAAACTCTAAAGTCTATTTTTGTGTGTGTGTGTTATTTTTATGTCAAAGTGTAGCATCTACGTAGCTGTGCTAAGTTGCTCTGTCGTGTCTGACTCTTTGCGACCCTATGGACTGTAACCTGCCAGGCTCCTCTGTCCATGGGATTTTCCAAGCAAGAATGCTGAAGTGGGTTGCCATGCCGTCCTCCAGGGGATTTTCCCGACCCAAGTATTGAACCCATGTCCCTTGTGTCTCTTAAGTCTCCTGCATTGGCATGCAGGTTCTTTACCGCTAGCACTACCTGGGAAGCCCTATGTAACTGTGCTGTCATTCATAAACAGGGATGAACAAGACTTAAAAAAGAGAAGAAACCTGCCCTGATGTATTAACATAAATTGGGAAGGGAAGTCCTGTCAGCCAGGCAGGCGGTGGACCTGTGTCTCAGGGGCTGCGCTTGTCCTAACCATTCCCTACCCACTGATGCCTGCCTCTGCCCTTTGTATTTCCAGCTTCCTTGCTGGGCTGATTTTAGGTTAATTTCTCTATCTTACCCTCCAAAAGCTTAAGGCAACAGATAGTCTAAGAACTGGGGAGCTTAGAATATTACACCAACAACAGACTTTTTAACAAATGCTCCATAAGGATAACACAAGACAACAAATGCCTTCCTTCAGGGTACCACCTCTGTATCAATTTTTCCTTAAATGCTTTCCCTTAGGTCTCTTTCTTCCCAAGGGAGGCTCATTTAAATCCAGTTTACTTCATGATCCGCCTTCTCCTCACACTCCATCATGTTGAGAGCACATCAACTTCTAGGCCCAGGAGAGACTCAAAAGGCAGGGGCTGCACAGAGATGTAGAGCCAGCAATATTGAACTTGTCTGACCCTCGCCTCTCAAGCAGATCTTGCATCTTTACTTCACTGGGAATAAAAACTCTGGGTGGTCAGGAGGTCATTTTCGTCTTTACCAACTGAAAGTTTTAGCAAGTAACACCATCCATTAAATGGAGCTAACATACTTGACCACTTGAGATTGCTTTGAGGAGCAAAGGTGATAGCACCATCTCTGTCTGCCAGACCTGGTCCCTACCCCACCACTCTGACCTGGGGTTGATCAGGAACCGATCCCTGGCTTCTCTGGGTCAAATTCCATTCATACGTAAAGTGTCAGGTTTGGACTAGATTTCTGAGTTCTCCAGTATGTCTAAATGCTCTGCTGAGGTAGGACTGAATAATAAACCTTCCTCAGTGGCAATTTTCACATTCCAGCCAGGCAATAATCCCCTAAATCAGGCTGCTCCTCCCCTCCCCCGCCCCCCACCATCCCCCGGAGCCAGCTTCCATGCTCCCAGTCCGCATTCTGCCCACTTCATTCACAGCATTATGAGTCTGGACCCTCAGCCATTCGAGTTTTTGACTCCTGAGAGAAATCTGGGAACTTGGTGAAGATGAGAACAGGGACAGGGCAACTTCAGAAGCCAGCTGGTGAACAAAGAAATATTTTTCACGCAGGGTCTCTCTGTCCCCCAAATATAATTTCATACACATTGGTCAGGCTTCCCTGGTAGCCTAACAACAACAAAATACATCGATTGGTTCAACCAACTGTCAAGATGACATTTGCTCTAGTGGTTAGGGGGTATTTGAATCAAAGAAAAAACTTTCTAAAAATACCTTTTATTGAAATGTATAGAGAAAAGTACAAAAATTATCAGTGTACAGGTCAACACGTTATTACAAAGTGAATGCACTTGAGTGTGGTTGCAAACCAGGTCAAAAATAGAAGAGGATGAGAAGTCCCTATTGGATTCCCTCTCCTCAGAAATAAATTTTCAATGGTGTTGACATCACCACTTCTCCATTTTTCCTTCCATAAACTTTCTGGGACCACCTTCCTATTATTCTTACTGTTACTCCCCCACTCCCCCCCCCCCTTAATCTTTCTTCATCTTTAAAGTGAAAGTCGCTCAGTGATGTCTGACTCATGGTGACCCTATAGACTGTAGCCCACCAGGCTCCTCTGTCCATGGAATTCTCCAGGCAGGAATACCAATGTGGGTAGCTGTTCCCTTCTCCAAGGGATCTTCCCCACCCAGAAATCAAACCCAGGCACCCCACATTGCAGGTGGATTCTTTACCATCTGAGCCACCAGGGACGCCCAAGAATACTGGAGTTGGTAGCCTAGCCCTTTTCCAGGGGATCTTCCTGACCCAGGAATCAAACCAGGGTCTCCTACATTGCAAGCAGATTCTCTACCAGCTGACCTACCAAGGAGGACAAAACAAAGTAATAATTAACCATTAACTAATAACTGGTCATTCTCTTTCCCATTGGGGCTTCCCTTGGTAGCTCAGCTGATAAAGAATCTGCCTGCGATGGATGAGACAGAGAAGACATGGATTCGATCCCTGGGTTGGGTCGATCCCTGGGTTGGGATGATCCCCTGGAGGAGGGCATGGCAACCCACTCCAGTATTCCTGCTTGGAGATTCCCATGGACAGAAGAACCTGGCAGGCTAAGTCCATGGGGTCACAAAGAGTAGGACAGGACTGAAGCAACTTAGCATGCAGGCATGCACTCTTCTCCATGACCTGAATGAAAGTCAGTAAATTGCAGGGAAACGAATGGTGTGAGGCAAATAGATGAACTACTATTTTCCTATCTGTAAGAATGCTCAACAATGTGGCCAGGGTCCACAGGTTTTTTTTGTTGGAAATTTCATCTCATATAGACTCCTTGATGCGGAAAAGGTGAAACAGGGAGGCTGAGCAAGCTTATGCAGCTTCATTTGAACTTCAGAAACCAACCTTTGGTAGGGTGTAGAGTCTTTGTCTAGGTCAGAACTAGAGGAGGTTCAGTGTATAAAGGAAATTTGCATCTCAGTGGTGGATGGTCACAGCCCTCTTTGAGAAGCTAGTAGAATGTATGGTGTCCCTTCTCAGAAATACCCATATGTACAGGAAGACAAAAGTCGCACATCGCTTTAGGAGGTTGCCACACGTGGTAAGCACTAGATACCTACCTATGGACTGGCCCCAGTCTGCTGCGGCGACTGTGGAAATCTCAGTGCCATGCCTGTTACCTTTTAACTAAAGACAGGAGTGTGTGTATCTTTAGCGCAGCGCACCTGCCTTATAGACAGAACGTGCTCAGACGCAGCCTCTCTGCTTCAGCACACTTTGTGCACTACAGGGGCGCCCCCGTTTTCCTTGGAACTGTCACAAAGGACAGCACTTGGCATCCTCACTCCTCATTGCCCAGGAGCACCGACTCGTCAAAGTTCTGGTGCCCGTTTCTCTGGGATCGCTGCCAGCTCCGGCTAGGAGGGCGCCCAGCGGCCCAGGAGCCTGGGAGACCGGGCGGGCATTCGCACTCATCTCCACACTCGGGCTAGCTCCAAGTGCGCACGGTCCTGGACCGGCCGGCGCGAGCACGCGGTGGGCGGCGGGGGCGCAGAGGCGCCCGGGGACGCGCGAGTGTGCGCTCCGAGAGGGCGCCTGGCCGGCGGTGCCCAGCTCTCCAACGGCCTCCGTGGCTCCGGGCCGGGCCCGGGCCGCGGCCCCCACAGTGCCCTCCCTCCGCCCGGCCGGAGTGGCCGGGCTGGGAGCCGCGAGAGCAAGAGCAGCGCCCCTACCGCCCGCTTTCCCACCTCCATCTCCTCCGCCTCCTCCGCCTCCTCCTCCTTCCCCCAGCCACCCGCTCAGTCACAACCGGTTCAGACTGGCCAGGGTGCCCCGCAAAAGAGAGAGACCGGGGGGAAAAGCACGGGAAATAACTTCCCAAGGAGAAGGAGGGCGAGAAGGTGGAGCCCCCTGGAGGGGCCGGCTCCCTCCCTCCATGTGGCCGCCGCCGCCGCTGCCGCGGAGCTCGGCGGGGGCAGAGGGCGGCGGCTCCCGGGGCAGCCTGTAGCGGGACGAATTGCCCAATACTCCGGCAGGGGCCGGGGCCGGGGCCGAGCCCCCGGATAAATAGCCGCCCAGCAGGCCCGGAGCTGCCGGGGAGAGCGGCGGCCGCTGTCCTCCCGGCACCACCCGCCCGGGCAGTGCGCCCCGTGCTGCGCCCCGGAGACGCCGCTCACTGCGGCCGGTACCCAGGTAAAAAGCTGGAGCTCGCGGGAAGGGTCTGGGGGTCGGCGGTTCCCCGTCTGCCTCCCGGAGGCTACGAGAAACTCCTCGGTTTCCGAGCGGGCAGAGGAGGCGGGGGCGACGCTGTCATCCGCGGCCAAGCAGCTCGGAGCCGGGTTCTTGTTAGGAGTGTGTGCGGGGGAGCTGAGAGTGTCTTCGGGGTGTTCGCGCCCACCGCGTGACAACTCCCAACCCTTTGGTGGGGTGCTGCTCTGCAGGGCCAGTTTTCCCAGCGCTCTGAGGGCGGTATTGTGCACGGAGTTGGACGAGAGAGAGGGAGAAAGGAGGTCCTGGAGAGAGGACGGTGCCCTCGGATTGAGCTCGGGATAGAGATCTGCGCCGGGACTGCCGGTGGCAGATGGGGGTTGGGGGGTGGGGGAAGCGACTCAGGTGAGCCCCTGTTTCCCAGAGGGCATGAGGCCTCCAAGTGCCCTGGTTGAGAGCTGGTGCACGCAGGTGACCCCGGGAGGGTCGCACTGGGGCGCCCAAGGGTTCCAGGCGCGGCGCCAGCTTCAGCACCGCGGGGTCAGCTCGGGCGAGCGCAGGAGGCACGGGCGCCTCGGCCGCCTGGACACAGAGCCGGAACTTGCGAGGACTTGGTGCTTCACGCTCCATCTGTGGCTCACTCTAGGTAACCACCTCTAGCCTCAGGAGCTCCTAGAGGGTTCGGAAAGAAATGATAAACGCATAAAAACTTCGTCATCATAAGTAGATCAATGCTTCTTAGGTTGCCATGTCTAATCCAGCCTAAAGCAATCAATATATCCTGGAGGTTAGGTAGGATTTACACTAAATAGGCATACTACTTACACAGTAAGTTATTTAATATCTGTGTTTTTGGATCAGTGTCTTGGGTCACAGTTAGTTTGGATGTATTTTTTTAAATCTTGAATTACCTGGATAGTGGCTCAGGTTGCAGAGTAGGATTTTCAGTTGTTCCAGCAAATCCTGTTAATTTGGTATGTCCTAACAGTTTCTCAGATTTGAGTTGGTTTCAGCTGTGAGAAATTGTTCTGGCTGGTTCAGGCAGAGGACTGAGGAAGCTAGACAAGATTCTGAAGTGAAAGCACCAATTATTCATTTATAGGATTACACCTTCTTTTAAGTACCTTGTGGATCCAGATAACAGGGTTATCTATATCATTGCTAGAAATAAATTTATTTCTTTTCAGGCCCTAGGAAGTGGAAATTACATTATAAAATAGCTTAACCTGCAAATTTGCAATAACTCGTAGCAGCACTGACTGCCTAAGAACACACTTCTCTGTCTCTTCTCTTTTGTGTGTAGGCAAGAGGGGGTAACAAGGACACTTTTTCTCTGTGGGATGCATATAGGAAGAGACAAAAGATATGCAGAGGTAGATCAGGACATTGGGACGTCTTCTCTAATTTCTGACTGAGTCTCTGAAAAGATGGTGATATGTGCATTGGTTGGCGTCTGAATCTGTATCAGGGCAGATCTTGGTGCTTTGGGTGTGGTTCTGGTCATGAAACTAGAGCAAGAGAATGACAATTAGATGTAGTTAGCTTTTGAAGCTTTATTTTCTCACCTGATCTTTTGAGCCTGCAATTTTTTTAGTCTTTTTCTTGAGCAAGTCATTACTTGAACTTACTTCATACAATGCAGTTGGGTATAGAAAGCCCGTGGGTAGGTACTAAAGAAACAATGTCTTGCTTGTTTAATTATTGCTTTACAAGAAAGTATCACCTAATGACTTTAATTTTAATTAAAGTTGGCAAGAATGCATATATTTTGAGCTAGCTGGCCTTTTCTTTGGGAGGTTCTTTGTAGACATCCGAGTATTCCCTGCAGATAATGAGATTGAAGAGTGACTTAAAACAGTTCAAGGAAAGAGTACATGACCCCTGCCTTCAAAGTGTTTAGTCGGGTGGGAAAAATAGGCATGTTTATAAATATCTAGAATACATGATAGTAAAAATGTAATCATATGGCAGGGACATCAATAGTGTGCGACTGAATGGCAGAGAGGTTCATTCAAGGTTAAGAAATGAGAAAAGTTATGTGGTGGGTGTAGCATCTGAGCTGAGATTTGAAGAAGGAAGAGGATTTCCTTGATGCAAAGGAGGGCTGCTGGAACAAGCGTATTGCATGGAGGTGTGCAAGTCTGGTGTGTTCAAAGGTAGCAGAGCAGTTTGGAGTGGCTGGAGTCTGGAATTTAAGATAGATAAGACTGGGAGGTAGGACGGGGCTAGATTATGGAGATGACAAGCCATGCTAAGAAATTAAAGTGTGATTGAACATTATTATTGTATTTATACCAACAGTGTTAACATCCTTCACTGTAGTTTATTCCTTGAAGTACAATTTTGTGAGCTTCCCCTAATAAGCAAATGAATAAGATCTTAATAGCATTTACTTTCTATAAATGTGAAAGAGTAATGTGTTTTCAAGTAGATTTCAATGCTTTATTCAAATCCAACAATTATTTCCCCTGAATTTGCAATCTTAGGATATAACAACTTTTAATTTGATTAAAACTTTGGATAGGAAAATACCCCCACTTTCCTGGGTCAGTATGCAGAGTAAAGTCACCTTCTGTTCACTGTTTCAGTTATTGACAATAATAATAATTATTATTAATCTTTATTAAACATGACATACTAAGTGAGCTACATACCTTCTTTTATCTAGGGAGGCATAATTTTAAACTTATTCTGAGAATTTCTTTTTTGCCTCATTGCACAGCATGTGGGATCTTAGTTCCCTGACCAGGGATCAGACAAGCCCCTGGCATTGGAAGTACAGAGTCTTAACCACTTAACCACTAGGGAAGTCACCTTGATCTCTTGATCTTGAAAATTTTAATAAGGTCACTCAACTAAGTAAGTGGTAGAGCCAGGTATTGAACCCAGGAAGTTTGTCTTGATAGCCCATTCTTTGGGCAGGGGCATAATATATGATAACTGTTATTCACAGTAATTAGGATTTGGACTTGCTACCTGTAGGAGAAGTTTTTCTCTATTTTTCCTTTGCATCCTCATTTCTATCATTTTAATTTTATTTTTTCATTTATATAATTGCCACATAAAATATTACTTTTAGGTGTACAACATGATGATTCTAAATATATATATATATATATATATATATATATATATATATACAACACAATGAGAACTTTTAAAATCTACTGTTTTGGCGACTTTCAAACATATACCGCAGTATGTTATAGTCACCGTACTGTACATTATCTGATTATATTTACTTTATAGGTTCAGTGATGACCCGTATTTCAGTGTTTTAACACATCTTCAAACTTGTTTCTTAAATTAATCAGTCTATTTTTGGCTGTGCTGGGTCTTCATTGCTGTGTGGGCTTTCTCTAGTTGCAGCAAGCAGGGGCTACTCTCTCGTTGCAGTGTGCAGGCTTCTCATTGTGGTGGCTTTTTTTTTCCTTTTTTGCGGGGAATTGGGCACCGGGGGTTTCGTTGGTTGCGGCTTCCCGGGCTCTAGAGTACAGGCTCAATAGTTGTGGTGCATGGGCTTAGTTGCTCCAAAGCATGTGAGATCTTCCAGGATCAGGGATCAAACCTGTGTCTCCTGCATTGGCAGGCAGATTCTTTACCTCTTAGCCACCAAGGAAGCTTTATCTTCAAACTATTATATGATCTTGTGCTTTTATGACCCACTCAAAAGAAACTCTTAAGCTCTTTGAGAAGAGAGGGGATATGAGATGAGAAAAACTTTAGTGAATCTAACAGCCTTAAATACAAAGACTAGGCCTCCCAGATTCCCTGGAAGAGCATCAATTTCATATATTCTTTTCACTCTTCCCAGCAAATCCCCCACATGCACCATATATTTTGGTATTTCAGCATCCCATATATATTACCGTGTATCTTCAGAGTTTTTACTCTGAAAATTATATAGCAAATCTACTAGTTTGTAGATGACATGCTAAAGTATATATTCAGGCAAAAGACTGGATTCTATATAATCATGTACAAGTTATACAAAACACTAAGCAAAATGACACACCATTGGAGACTGTGTCATGAGAGATTTTTTCACCGCTGCTGTTAATACTTGGACCCAGTTTTATGGCGTATGGGTTGTATGGAATTAAGATAAGCTGAAACAAAAGCTTGATAGCTTAGGAAGCATGATAAATGCCTGTGACAAATGAAATGATGGTACCAACTCACATCTAAGTCTCTGGTCCTCACTTTGCTTATATTGACTCTGTTAAATCTCTAGATCTATCTTTTCATTTGTTCTCAGACTGAATGATTTATGAACTCTTCTATTTCCTCTTCTGTTCCTGAGAGCAGGACTGGAAATAGGTGGCCTTTCCCTGGACGGGTCAGTAAGGGATCTTGAGATGGGTCTCTCCCTTAACAAGATATCTCTAAACCTCAGTTTCCTCGTGCTGTGCCGTGCAGAGTCACTCAGTCGTGTCCAACTCTTTGCGACTCCATGGACCATAGTCCGCCAGGCTCCTCTGTCCATGGGGATTCTCCAGGCAAGAATACTGGAGTGGGTTGCCATGCCCTCCTCCACAGGATCTCCCCAACCCAGGGATCGAACCCAGGCCTCCTGCCTTGCAGACGGATTCTTTACCTGCTGAGCTACCAGGGAAGCCCAGTTTCCTCATACAGAGGAGGAAATGGAGTAATTGTTAAGATTGGGGGTAGCACGTTCTCCAGGTTCACCTAGGGCTGACTGGCCTCATGGAGCAGCAGACTGGGGTGGGAGGTGGGGAGAGCACAGGTGAAACTCCAAGGCAAGTCAGCCTTGGTGCTGTGAAAGGAAGAGGAGGGAGTGGAAGGAGCTGGAGAAAACATGCCCATTCACGAGGGCCAGAGCTACTCGGTTCCAGCCAATTATTACGTAAGAGCAAGAGCCCAGTGTTGCCAGATCTTCAGGAGAATCCGGAAATTCAGATTTTGATGGGAAAACATTGGCAATTCATTCAACATGGCTAAAAATAAAAGAAAATAAGAATTGG